GGCATTACTTATGGTGACCCCCGTGATCATCCTTTCGACCCACCTTACGCAACCCTTAGACATATGGAGATGTTCATGCAGGATGGATTACAACAGATCCATACGAGATGCCACTTGCCTGCACTAACTCTTGGATTGAGATTCGACGGTTGCTCATTACCATGGTGTACATCTGGTCGATGTTTTCCGTGTAGATGTTGGTTGTGGGCCGACCTGGACGGGGTCATCTTCAAGGGCACTGGAGTTCCCTTCACCCATCATCTTGAAGGCTGCACATAGTGGGCAAGACTTCCACTATACTATGCTAAAAGATTTCCAGTGTGTGAATGATATAAATCATTCTTCAATATCATATAGTTATTTTCATCATGCATATACTAGAAGTATTTTAGGATGAAAACATTTGATAACCCCTTGTCTCCGATTTCCTCAATGTTAGATTATGCTTGGACATGAAGGGCTTGGAACGTAGACCTCTTGATGAGGTCAGAAGTGATGAGAGTTTTGAAATTGGCTGTGTGTGTTGAACTTCCTAATTTAGGGATCATTACCGATGTCTGCCATTGTTCGTTCAACTGCTAAAACCTTAATTCATATCTACCCAAACATCACGTTAATGATTGACAATGTAGTCATCGTGCACAGACATTCATGAAACGAGATACCTTTGGAATTGTTCTTTATATACCTTTTAACATGACCCTCACCTAGTATTGCCCGCTGCCCGCTGACAGAACACATCACAGAAGACAAACAGAAAGTCAAAGTATTAGACATTGCTCTTTCATATTTGTTTATGTTTTTAAGGTTAATTAATTTATATGCCGTTGTTGTGTAGTTATTCCGCTGCTGTGCAGAGCCTGACATCACACTGACGAAATATCGCTATGGAATTCTTCATAACCTGTGGCTGCAGAATTCTGAAGACTTCTGTAGTGCTACATATACTCATGGAAACAAATAAGGGAACACGTGAAAGTACAAGTGTTCCTGTATTCTTTTCCAGGTTTCTTCACAAGGTATGTGAGTGAAATTCGGGAAATAATAAAGGAACACTTGTACTTCCATGTGTTCCTTTTCGTTTCTATGAGTATATATAAGCTCCCCTGAATATAAAGCAGGTTGGGACTGTCTTAATGGAGGTTTGTTGCCCACATCATCACACTACTCCCTCATACCCGACTCATGGTGCCGGTGTTACACGGAATACCTGAAACGGGACCTTCATCAAACATAAGTTTATTCTATTTTTGTCAGACTTGTATCAATACAAAAGCACTGTCTGATCATGCCGAGCCCCATATTAGTCAGTGTGATTTTGATTATGACGTTGATGACATAACATGTACTATATTAGATTCACCCATTACTAGGGATGAACTATCTGAGGCTATCCTTAAGCTTAAAATCTTCAGAGTCGCCTGGTGAGATAATTCATTGCCGGAGTTTTTAAGCATTCAATGGATATTTTATTACCGTATATGGAGCTTTTGTTTAATATTTTGTTCGAGTCCTCCACTTTTCAGACAGCAGGAGTACAGCAATTACTGTACCTTTATTTAGAAGGGTGATCGTAATGATCCAAATAATTACAGGGGAATATCCTTTCTTAGTACTCTCAAGTAAACTATATACATCTGTACTTAACAATAGAATAACATTTTGGGCAAATACATGCGAAAGGTTGTGAAATCACAAGCAGGGTTTAGGGAAGGTTATAGTACAATTGATAATATTTTATTCTTCAATCTGTTTTCCAACGTAAGAAAAAAGAGAGGGGAAGTTCTATGCTATGTTTGTCGATTTCAAAAGGCTTTTGATTTTGTTAACAGGGGATAAACTATGGGCCATTCTCAAATATAGAGGCGTTTCACCTGTGATGCTTAAAGCCTTAACTTCTATCTATAAGTGTGTTAAAGGGACAGGTGCGTGATATTTCTCTCTCTCAGTTGTTTGATTGCCCACAGGGGTTTTGCGACAAGGGTGTGTTTTATGTCGATAAATTCATATTAGAATTTGTTTTAGACTAAGAGCAAGTTATGAACAAGAATGGCACACATCGCCTGTAAATAGTCCTATTTTCACTTTATTCTTGTTTTAAAATCTCACTTAATGTTGAATTTTACATAAAATATTTATCAATTTCAAAATTCCGACCGGCCCCTTGCTAAATTCAGATGTTCTTCACACCGCCTCCAAATTGAGACCGGTCGATATATTAATCAACCCAGGTCAAATAGATTATATATGTTTTGTATGTAAAGATAAATTTATTGAAAATGAATTTCATTTTATTTTGGTATGTAAATGTTATCAAAATCTGAGATGTTTGTATTTACCACAAAACCTTTATTCGAGTCCCACTATTCATAAGTTAAATATGCTCATGTCAACTGGCAATCCATATATTGTAAAACCTTAGCTATTTATATACACAATACAATGAAACTTAGAGATTCACTTCTATGCCAATAATATCATATTTCCCTTTGTATAATTTGTAAATTAACTTATTGTCTTCTGAACTATATATGCACATATGCACCGCTCTGAACTCCTGAAGTGTAGCCTGGGCCTATGGCTTCCACTACAAAGAAAATAAAGATTGATTGTCAGATTGTTTGTTTTAGCAATGTTTACTTAACAAATAGTTTTGGATGGAGCAAACTAAAATACAAACAGTAGAACTGAGCATAGAGTTGTTTTTCTCTTTAGTTAAGAGAAAAAATATGTAGTTTAATGCAGGTGGTATATTTCATTTTTGCAAGTTTCATTGAGATGTTTTCTCTAATCTCCTAATCTTTAAACGACTGGGCGATCTGTTAAAAAAGTGTGTTTGTCTGTGTGCGTGTGCGTCCGTGAGTGTGTTGATATTAAAAATACAAAGATACAATTGTCACTTCATATATACTCCCCATCAAATGTTTAGACTCAATAGTGTAAATGAAGCCATGTACTTTAGTCAACTGTTCCTAAAATATATTTTTGCAAAACTTTCCATACTGTTTAAAGGTACTGTTTATACATGAACTGAATCATTGTAAAACACATTTGTAACGTTGAATAGATTATTGTCATGAGTTCGATAAATGATGAAAATCATAAATTCGTAGTATTGATGAATTCGTAGCAAAACGTTACACCAAAACACAGCTGTTCACATGCATGATATCTGCACATGCTTTACACAAATTTGATGCATGTTCCCTGTGCAAATTCATCTTCATAAGGTTTGCGAGTTGGTTCCCCCCAAGTTAGTGGAAATCCATCTTCGATGTAACCATACACATATACATAACATATAGTGAGTGCTTTAATGAGTCTAAACTTTTGATGGGCAGTATAGGATACTGCTGACGCGAGTTGAACCCCAAGCATTTTTCAGAAAAAATGTAAGACATGTTGATGTGAAATGTGAGTATGAAGAACGATAAGACAGAAATTTGTGCACATGTCCTTTCAAGCACTATGAGAACGCACTGACCACAGTGATTGTTGGTTAATCTGGTGTGTTACTCAAGACAGGGTCAGTGATGCATGTCACAATACACAAACACACATCCACACAACCTGATATCAAGCCCAGACCCACAGTAACTTTTGATAAAGGCGGGGCCAATGGCTGCGCTCTATTTTCTTTAAGGAAGAGCAGCGCAAGTGCTACTGTGGAGAATATAAGGTCTCCAAAGGTGCCCGTGTTTGCGTTGAGAGGCAAACAACCAGACAGCTTCATGGGTTAGGTGTCTCTACATATACTATCCCGACCGCGTGAGAGTTACATGCACTGCCACGACAGCGTGTGACGTTAGCTTTTAATATAGAGTTCACCTGTCAATTCCGCTTGCCTATATGAGTAGGATTACTGCTCACTGACTGGAGTGAGTGAGTTTCGTTTTACTGCCGCACTCAGCAATATAAAAGCTATATGGCAGTATATAATCGATTCTGGACCAGACAATCCAGTGACCAACAGCGTGAGCATCGATCTACACCCAACGAGGGATACGATGACCTGTGTCAACCAAGTCAGCGGAGTCTGACTATCCGATCCTGTTAGTCGCCTCTTACGGCATGCATGAGTTGCTTTGAAGATCACTAACTTATATCTTGGGTTTTGCTCACTGAGGAAGATCACACTTGAGGAGCCTTATATTCTCTAAAGGACCCATGATTATCCATTTACTTACATACCGCAGTCATAAACCTGGAATATTGCTGAGTGCTAAACATGCTGCTGTTTAATTTACTATTTTTGTATTTTTGACACATCTATGGCTTTGATTAAACAGTTCACTAGCCTTTGCGGACGCTTTTGGAAACATTGATACCACTATCCGATAGTGATTCGAGCTCATTCATAACCTGCGGACGATATCATCATTTGATTGTGACCCTCCGCCATATAGCTGGGATAGTGTTGAGTGCGGCGTAAAACTAAACTCACTCATCCACAACCTGCTCTCGATATCACTATTTGATAGTGATTCAATCTCATTCATAACCTGCTCACGAACACGAGTGTCTATCAAACAGTTGAACATTATTTTTAGTCTGACTTTTATTTTGGTCATTCGTATGCTTTTCAGCGAATTCATTTAAAATTCCACTTGGGGTATGAGAGCAAGGTTAAACGAATGTTCAGTTTGACAAATATTTTAAATTCATTTTTGAGTTTCTACTTTGGGATTTAATGTAACTTTTATAATTTTTTATTTACATAGTTTGTAAAACAGATCCCATTTGTGAGTATCAAACCCTATTTTAGAAACATAAGGTGAACATCTGGTAATAATTACGTCAGAATAAGTCTGTAACAAATAAGTTTTTCTCCTTCTTTTAGTTGTATCAAATAGGTTCGATTCTTTAAAAACATAAACAGCAATACAATGTATGATTACTTCGGTGATATTAAGTACCATTGGAATCAAACAGGAATACAGTTATCGTCCCTGTTTAAAGTAGTTCTGATGTTCATGCGCCAATATGAAATCCTTCCAGTGCGGCACGAGTCGCTATTCGGCTTGTCCCGGACTAACACGAGTTGGTCACGAATGGACAGGTGCCTATTTGAGCAACACGTGCTGAAGCTCGCATGTGCACAATGAACCAACTCTACAAATAGCATTGTTGTCATATCATGCCGAAATAATTTGAATCGGGTCGCGCGCCAACGATGATGAATACGAAAACGACAGACAGGAAGCGGACACACTGTCGTAATGGATTCGACTGACGATGAGCCAAGCCACGCCAAAGCGCACCAGACTGACAGACATGGCGCCGGCGCAAGGACTTGCAACTGGTGCAGGTTAGGCCAAATGCTTGGCATATCAACCACGCGGCTCCATGTTCTTATTATTCACAACCAGTGAATGCTCCGGTTGCACTGAACCCACGCGCCCTATTTGACAATTAAGCAAAGTAGGGTCAGTCGGGAAGCACTCGTAGCTAAGAGTCATGACACAGAGACTCGCAAGCATAGAGTTTAAGTTGAGGTGAAGCAATGTAAATGTACGAGTTTTTATTTGTTGCCGTTTGTACAGATCTGTTCCATGCAGTTGTATTCAGTCACCATGTGCCTTTCGGTAGTTGAATGAAACTTTTATAAATGCTTATCCATGGCAACTGGGCTCCACAACAAAGTAGTCCCAGCTTGGAAAATTCAAGCAACATTTCGGAAATCACTACTTTCACTGTCTTGACCTTCCCACATTGTACTACTTTCACTGTCTAGAATTTCTCATATAGTACTAATTACACTGTGTAGACCTTCACACTGATCACTAATTACACTGTCTTGACCTTCCTTCACAGCAATAAACTTACGCTATGTAGACCTTCATACATATCACAACTGCGCTGTCTAGACCTTCATATACATATCACTAATTACACTGTGTAGACCTCTCACACACCACTAATTACACTGTGAAGACTTTCACAAACAACACTAATTACACTGTGTAGACCTTCACACACAACACTAATTACACTGTGTAGAGACCTTCACACACAACACTAATTACACTGTGTAGACCTAAACACATATCACTACTTACACTGTGTAGACCTTCTCACACATATCACTAATTACACTGTGTAGACCTTCCCACAGCACTAATTACACTGTGTGTGACCTTCACACAAGACTAATTACACTGTGTAGACCTTCACACATATCACTACTTTCTACACTGTGTAAAGACCTTCACACACAACACTAATTACACTGTGTAGGCCTTCACACAACACTAATTACACTGTGTAGACCTTCACACACAACACTAATTATACTGTGTAGAACTTCACACACAACACTAATTACACTGTGTAGACCTAAACACATATCACTACTTACACTGTAGACCTTTTACACATATCACTACTTAAATTGCGTAAACCTTCACACACAACACTAACTACACTGTGTAGACCTTCACACACAACACTAATTACACTGTGTAGACCTTCACACATTATCACTACTTACACCGTGTAGACCTACTCACACATATCACTGCTTACATTGTGTAGACCTTCACACACAACACATAATTACACTGTGTAGACCTTCACACAAGGCACTACTTCACTAATTACACTGTGTAGACTTTCACACACAACACTAATTACACTGTCTGACCTGACCTTCACGCACAACACACTGCTAATTACACTGTGTAGACCTTCACACATGGCACTACTTACACTGTGTAGGCCTTCACACATATCACTTGTGTGTAGACTTCACCCATACACTGTGTAGACCTTCACACTCATCACCAATTACACTGTGTAGACCATCTAATGACTTCACACATATCACTACTTACACTGTGTAGACCTCCATACATATCATTACTTCACACTGTCTCATATAAACCATCTGTAGACCTTCACACATGTCACTTCTTACACTGTCTAGACCGTCGCACAAAGTACAGCTTATATCTATGTCTAGAACTTCACACGTGGTCTCATATAAACCATCCATCTTGGCACTACTTGACTATCTAGACTTACACATTCTGTCTAGACCTTCACACACGGCCTCAAAAACACACAGTCTTTGAATGAAAGTAGACTCTAGGCCATGGAGAATAGTTCCACTTTAACACCCCGAAGAGTGAAGTACTGTATTGAGTTGAGTGAAACGTATGGAATTTCCCTTACCTTTCAGAAATGGACACAGACCCACCCGATTCTGACTCTGGAGAGCAGAGCGATGACCCATCCATGCAAGACCGTAAAAACCGCCAACTCAGTTCAAGAACGGGTCGAGGTCGCGCTTACATAACTGGTAAAACATACCGAGTTTCTTCCAGGGCCAGTGTTAAAAGGGAAGGTTGAGAGTTGGTCTCAAAGAATATACGCGATAACAAAGAGTCTTTTTAATGCTTCATGTGACTGATGTACAAGGTGTAGAAACCAATGCCATTCCAAATGGACAGGAAACTGTTTATTCTGTTTGTAATTCCGTTGTCTATTGAGGTTATCGACTATCATTTAAAACGTCCCCTGTATATATGCACGATTCTTCACTCTCATTAATCACAGGCCGTTCCGATTTGACCTTGTGCTTAACTTAGACACGTAAATGTTGATCAGGTACCCTTTAGTAGGTAAATGGGGAATGGCTCAATTAGCTGTCAACCACTACTTTAAACATCTCACACAAAATCACACGGAGGAAATCTGAACAGTTCTGTAATATTGCTGCAATTATGTCATATATCATCTTATTACTCGCATTTATATGGCTGCATATTCCAAATCCATCTTGTACATGTTTATAGCAAGCTCATTGAGCATACACAGAATTGCATATGGATGTATTGTTGTTTAAGGTGTAAGTGGAGGCACAGTGAAGAACTCTACAGTTATAGGAAGTGTGATCGACAGCTCAGGTAGGAAAACAAATGATTGACTTATTAGGGCTCCTTGCCTCTAGGCAGGAGACCTATTGTAATCGTTCGGATTATCATTATTATTTTTATTTATTATTCCGCTGATTTGTCTACCAGACGGGTCAAGTCGCTAAAACGTACCGTTTGGCAGTTATTGTTGTTTTCAGTTTTCGGCCATGTTTTTCAGCAGTTTTCTGAGTAGTTTGTTCCCAAAATGTGCAGATTCGCACACAAAGTGCCAGTATGGTAACCCATGTCCTGGTGATTCCAGAACACTAATTGTTTTGACCGTAGACCCAAGAACAACTGGGATACAGCCTTTTAAAGGGGCAACTATTTCTTCTCCGGAACTACTTACATGACCCCCGCGACCCCGGCTGTATTTGAAGATCCTCTCGCCTGTCCAAAAACGTGATTCTGGCTCCGTTTTGCACGATGCTTTCTTAGCCCTCATCATTGCCTGCAACCATATTTTCACTGCTATAATTTGTGAAATAGGAATACATATATGTATGCACATGATACGTATACATACCCGATAAAGTAAAGGAACCCCTCCGCGACAGACGGGTCAAACGTAAAGTCTTACTGCTAACGCAGGAGCATCATGCTAAGTACTAATACTATTTATCTTACATTCATGTAAAAATACTTTGAGTTCATTGGTCAATGACGGTTTAACAAAGCTTCCGTGTCACCCTCACACGAGGGTAACAACTGAAAAATATTACCCGCTGCCACGGTAACCGCCTAGCTCCTCGCCGAGAAGATGAAGCGCTAACAATCGTATGACAACATAATATGACGCATGCCGTGCCCGGAGTTCAAAACCGTTCGATCAGCCAAGTTTTTGTGTTCACTTTGTACTGATTTATTTTACCGACTTTTACTTCTTTATTTAAGCTATTTTATACATTGTGTGGTTTGCACACACAGCTTAAAACATAATTAACAATGTTTATGGCAGTTTTATGCTTGTCAGAATATGTTTCACTGATGTTACAAATCCAGTCGAGAGGAAGACGTCATTTTGTTTACATGTCATATACATGTCATGTAGTCGGTAGCGATCTTTAGCATAACATAAAAATGATATTTTGTACATTTAACATGGCGGTAAGATAAATACGTTGTATGCTTCTCCCCTCGGGTAATACGAGCGATACGTTGATGTGATGCCTCTTTGTAGCAGGTCATCCCTCGCCTACCGGCTCGGCTGACACTGCTACAAAGAGGCGTACATCAGACCGTATTACCCTTTGAGAGAAGCAAACAACTTATAGCATACCATAAAGAGAAATAAACGCCGAGAGTACTTTGTAGAAAAAGTAATCAAACGCTATTAACAAGAGGTGCTAAATCTCCAAACAAATTCTAATATAATGTAATTTATATCGTCATGTACATTCTAATTCACCTTTCATACTATGCTTGGTTAATTGGCTTAGTTGCCTTTTGTTTCAGTGAATGTACATAATCCTAAAAGTGTCTACATCAAGAACCAAGCACCATCTTTAGCAATGCAAGTTTCAGTTAGAAGTTCTTCATGGAAGCACAGACTACGTTGACTGTGTATTACAAGATGATTATTCTTTCGTCATTACGGCAGTAGTGAAGTGTTTAACTTTAAACATTTTACAAAGCTTGTGATCGTTCATAACTAATTAAAGTACTAAGTTCCATGCATGCAACTCTGAGGAAGATAATTTTATGGATGTCAACTTCTCTTTTATGTTTACATCTCATGAAGGAGTAAAGTATATACTCTTTTAATAAAGAAGTTGACATCCATAAACTTTTCTTCCGTGTATGTATCCCTTCCAAATGCCATTCAACGACTCCTCATGCAACTTTGGTTACACCAATTGAATTGTTGGGGTTTGGGTTTTCTTTTGTTTTTGTTTTGTTGTTTTTGTTTTCTAGTTTCTTTTTTAACTGAATCACAAACTAAGTTCAGTGTGTTGTAAGCCCTTAAAGCCCTATTTGTTTGAGCTCCCAGTATTTAATGCCTGACATGTTTTTATTACAGACAGAAATGAAGAATTTTTGAGCATATGGACTAATGGTATGATAAAAACCAAAGCAACTGAAATACTTATTGACAATAAGATTGGTAAAGGTGCCGGATGCATCACGTGATTACAGGTGGGTGCCCCAAGGATGGGAAGTCTACATTAGGCTACTTAATATTACAGCATTATCTCAAGATGAAAGACCAGTGTATGAAGTACGAACACCAGAGGAACATATACAGTCTGACAGCAGTGAGTCTGTCATAATGATCGACGATATATTTGGGCAGTTTTCATCTAACAAGAGTCATTTCAAATGGGAAAGTGTGGTCATGGATATTTGCAAACTTCCAGAACACAAAGGTAAACACTCAAATCGCAATGCCTCCGTGACATCATGTTATATTCTGACAAGCAGAACTGATGTACTCACAGTAGCAACTCATTATTTCAATAAATTTTCTAAACTGTTACTTAATGACGAATGCACAGAGTTGACCTAGCACAAAATGACAACCTCGATTTGGTACCCAGAAGAGTTCATCTCTGAAAGAGTTAAGATCTGGGAATCGCACAGAAGAAACGAAATCATAGTTGATAAGGACACTGTGGTAAAAGTGTGTTCAAGGAACTCTCTTGCATGGATTCCCCAGGTTGCCATATGCTAATGAATTACCATACAAAAGGACGATGACAGACTCTCTTTCCTGAATCCTATTCCAGTTTTAAACGAAACAATGAATCACTAATGGGTAACAAAACAGTCGTAAGTATATTGTGGAGGCAAATGTTGAAGAATGGTGGGTCGTTTGATCTTTAAGCAGCATCGAAGATGAGGAACGCTATTTTGAGCCGTATGATACATGCCAGCCCCTAAAAGGAACATATCTATCAATGGATGGAAGTGTAATATCATTTCAGCATTCATCAATTTAAGGAGAGTGCTGGGTGTCTGTTGTGTGTGGACAGCATCCAAAGTTCGTTATAGAAAAAATTGTAGCTTGACGTTTCTTAACGAAAGAGTGCGATTTGACCCATTTTCAGCATGACCTCAGTGATACATGCTGCATGACCAGGAATATAAAACGCGAATTCGTGACACCTCCTTATCCAAAGACTGCAACGCGAAGTTAACACATTAAATATACAGTTTGCTTTTATCACATGAATCTTTCACGATAACGAGCTTGTTGTTGAATTCATGGAAGCCATGGCATCTATACCTCGGTCGTGAACGTTGCTGACCTGATCGATAAGGAAACACAAAACTCTTTCCTCTATTTTCCATGAGTAGCAAGTCGGAGAAACTTCTAAAACACATCTGTGGTGCAACTGAATTGTCATCAGATCAACAAGAAGATTGCATTTTTGGTATTTGTGAACACAGTTCTGAGTTATCAATGAACTACCTTTGGGTATTTTACAAAGGAACTGAAATTAACTGCACAAATGCTTATCAGCAAACACCTTTAATGGTATCAGCATCAAAGGCTTCTGGTGAGCTGCTGGCTAGTATATTGCCAGAAAATGGTGCAGACGTCAATATCAGAGATGAGTATGGGTACACCGCGCCTCGAACATGCTTGTGTTAGCAGCAATACCAACACCTGGTTCAAGTTTTGAAAAAATGGAGCGACATCAATACCAGAGATAATGAGGGTCAAACTCCACTTTAATACTCAATGTTCGTTTGAAAATTCTCTTTGTGTCTTTCCTTATAGAACATGGAGCAGACATTAACATAAGTAACAAAAGGAGAAACCCCTTCACGGGGCATGTACAGAAGGATTTAAAGATATAGTCAACCTTCTGTTACACAAAGGAGCACGTGTCAATGCAAATGATCACAAAGGTAAGACGCCATTGCACTATTCTTGTGAGTACAAGACAAATGATATTGTAAGCGTGCTGTTGGCAAGGGTGCTGACGTCAATATGAAAGACAATGAAGGTTTCACCCCACTCAGACATTCTGCAACAGTAAAACATCCAGCCCTTGTTTGAACTTTTGGGAAAAGGTGCTGATATCAATACGAGGGATGCAAAAGGTCGAACAGCTCTGCAGGAAAACTGCTCTATTGGACAAGTCAATGTTGTGATTTATCTTTTGGAACAAGGAGCTGACATTAATATGGCTGACAAGGATGGTCAGATGCCGCTCCATGGAGCATGTATAGAGGGTTCAAGGATATTGTCACCCCTTTGTTAGAGAAAGGCGCAAATATTAACTACAATGATTTGCAAAGGTAAGACACCATTGCACTACTCATGTGAGTACGGAAGGGCTGATGTAGTGGGGCTGTTGTTGGACAATGGTTCTGACCTCTATGCGGAAGACAAGAAAGGTTACACCCCACTAGGGTATGCATGTTACACTCAAATACATTCAGTGTTTGACTCCATCTTTTGAAAAAGGTGCAGACATCAATTCGAAAGACACAAGGGGCAAACTGCTCTCCACGTAAACTGTTCCATTGGAGAAGTCAGTGTTGTGACATATCTTTTAGAACAAGGAGCTGACATTAATACAGCTGACAAGAATGGCCAGATGCCGATTCATGGAGCATGTAGAGAGGGTTCAAAGGATATTGTCGCCCTTCTGTTGAACAAAGGCGCTGATGTCAACACAAAAGATAAGAAAGGAAAGACGCCATTGCACTGTTCATGTGAACTAAAAAAAGAATGACATTGTGGGCATGTTGTTGGAAAAATGGTGCAGATGTCCACGAAAGAGACAGGAAAGGTTTCACCCCACTTAGGTATGCATGTTGCAGTATCAACTTCCATGCTATGACCAAACTTTTTGGAAAAAGGTGCAGATGTCAATACGAGAGACACACAAGGTCAAAACCCCACTTTATTCGCAATGCTCCATTGGAGAAGTCAGTGTTGTGACTTATCTTTTGGAACAAGGAGCTGACATTAATACAGTTGACAAGAATGGCCAGATGCCGATTCATGGAGCATGTAGAGAGGGATTTCGGGATATTGTAGCCCTTCTGTTAAACAAAGGCGCTGATGTCAACACGGAAGATAAGAAAGGAAAGACGCCATTGTACTATTCATGCGATGAAGTAATCAACCGATTGTTAAACAAAGGTGCAAATACCAACACCTAAAGGATGCGTAATGTTCAGTCTTCTATACATCCATCGGCCATTTGGAAAGTGACAGCTACACCTAGGAAAGACTGAGTATTTGGAGTATGGCAATACTTAAAGTTAGTACTCTTCGGCTTGCATTTACGGACACATGGAATCCACAACATACTGGTTTGTCTTCAGAGTGGGATGACACACACTATCTGCAGAGCCCCGTATTAAGTTGCCTTGTGGAGAAGAAGGGTATTGTTAGTTTGCCTTGAGGAGAAGTAGGGTAGTGCTAATTTGCTTAGTTGAGATGAAGGGCAGTGCTAATTTGCCTTGTTGAGATGAAGGGCAGTGCTAGTTTGCCTTGTTGAGATGAAGGGTAGTGCTAGTTTGCCTTGTTGAGATGAAGGGTAGTGCTAGTTTGCCTTGTGGTGAAAAAGGGTAGCGCTAGTTTTCTTTGTGGTGACCCATTCTAGCGCTTAGTTAACCTATTCTACCGCCGCCACTAGAATACTGAATGTGGACACGGTATACCTAAAGTTGTTTTCAAAGCAGGAAACGAAAGAGGAAATTTCGATACATTTTAATTTCTGCTCATTCCATCCTAAATATGGGTTCACTGGAATGGAATTGATAGTGTTGACTAGTTCAGTATTCTTGAACCCATGTGCTAAATCCAGGTACAATGTTTCCTGATGGGTTTGGGCGTCATTACGAGGACTGGGCAATAGTATCGGTAAACCGGTATATATTGGTACGAATATCACGATGTGATTCAGATTCTGCAATATATTTGGTCATCCAGAGTTAGCATCCTTTGAATTATCTACTACTGTTGATTTCCATAGCAACAAAACGTGCTCTAAAAGTGCCAAATATACTTTTATTTCTATTGGTTTCATGTTACATTTTTCAATAGGAAAATGGCTCGAAAGTGCCAAATATTCTACCAAATGCTTCAAGTTTGGTGGGTTTGAATGGTTTCATATGGGCCATTTTTGGAAGAATTAAGGGGCCTCAAATGGACCAATTTTTTTATATTTGGAATTATTAGTAGAGCCTCTGGATCTGAGTGTCCATTTCACAATTCACATACTTTTGTTACTATTGTTTGTTTCATATTGGGACATATGCTATAAATATATCATAAAGGCCTAAATCTTATTAATTTAGGCCAGTATGATAAGGATCTTAGTTATTAGAGATAACATGAGATTTTAAGCTCAAATAGTTCACTTCAATCATGTTTATGTTTCTTTTTCCAATAGTTCATGTTAACGCATGTTTATATTGGGGTTAAATCTGAATGAATGACTGACATACAGTAACAATAATTACATACTGCATTGAAGTGCATTCTGTTGAAGCAAACAACGCTGATCATGAAAATAATGTTACACTATTACCTTTATTATGTTCACAAAACATTGCTGCAATACTTCAATTAAATATTCCACATTAAGGCTCTATATAATGTATCTGTAAACCACTGGCATACAGCCATACACAATGGGGACGGGGAGCCTGAAGGTATGGTGGTACAACAACTAAGCAAATGGTGTCACACACAGAGAGCTATTATGAATTTATGATGTACGCACTTGGGCAGAAAAATCCCAGTAGATATATGACAACATGTATCTCAATATCTTTAAATCACTGCAATATATCGCAATATGAGAATCAGGGTAATATCCAGCCCTAGTCATTACTGTCAAAATGGATAACAATGAACACTGATTATGTATTTCCCAGTCACAAGAAAACGAAATTCACATCATGGTCTATAAAATACCCATCCACCTGTGATATAAGGCGACATTTTCATAGATGAAGTACTATACATTCAGTGTGCCATTTGGCCCTTCTCGCTTCTAGTTACCTTCCTCCCATGGTTGGTAAAGGTTATTTGAGGTTTCAGCGAAATCGCTTTTCAATTATATTGTTGCCACGCTTTCCTGTTACATCGTTGTCACAACCTGACTGTACGCGTAACCATGCACCAGTAACCCGATGGCGAAGCTACATGTACCCAGCCC